TTTTGACTTAATCATGTTATATCCCTTCGGGAAGAAGATCTTGTATGAAATCAATGGGATTAAACACTTATTTCTCATATGATGAAACTTTATGAATTTACACTTGCTAAGGCCAAAGGTGCCAAACAGTTGATTAAAAGGGGAACTCTTTTGTACATATTATTATCATTTTGGGAACTCGAGCTGTGGCATCGTGGTTACACCTCCACCCTCATACGTTGGGGTGAGGCGGCGGGGCCGCTTTGTGTAGAGTTGTGGTATTGTGATTACACCTCCACCCGCATACGTTGGGGTGAGGCGGCGGGGCCGCTTTGTGTAGAGTTGTGGTATTGTGATTACACCTCCACCCGCATACGTTGGGGTGAGGCGGCGGGGCCGCTTTGTGTAGAGCTGTGGTATTGTGATTAAACCTCCATCCACATACGTTGGGGTGAGGCGGCGGGGCCGCTTTATGTATAGTTGTGGTATTATGAATACACCTCCACCCGCATATATTGGGGTGAGGCGGCGGATCCACTTTGTGTATAGTTATGGTATTGTGATTGCACCTCCACCCGCATACATTGGGGTGAGGCGGCAAGGCCGCTCTGTGTAAAGGTAGTTGTAGAGGATTCCCGACTTGAAATTTATAAGCATTATTGGAAGTTCTTAATAAATTTGCTTTGACTTTTATGGCTACATAAGCCCTATGATTGTTACCTTGATTCATCATATTCATGTTGTATTTCCAAGTCCTTGAGTAGGTGTTTTGGTTTTCATACTAGTACTATTCGATATGTACTAACGTCCATTTTGCTGGGGGCACTGCATCTTTAATGGATACAAGTGGTTCCACATCGGAAGACATTGACCAGTGATAGCGGTACACTTTTTCCAAGCTGACTTGGTGAGCCCCACTTCATTCCGGGGTTGTGCATCTTTTGTTCCGTGTGTATTATGTTTTGAGCTATAGCCCGAGCCTTGTTGTTGGCATCATCATTGTACTCTTTTATATCTATTAGAGGCTCTATAGACATATTGTGGGTTGTGTATTAGTGTGGAAAAGTTAAACTAAAGATGTCGTAATTGTATCTCATGCTTCCACTGTAAAACTATGGTTGTGAAATGTATTGTTTTAGAGACTTATAAATGAAGTAACTAATAGTGATGGAACTAGTGTTGTTCATGAACCCTCGTGGTATTAATTAATGAAGTTTATATTCTCTTTATTTATGGGTGAGTTTGGTAGAAGGAACGTACTCCCCGAGGTCGAGGCGTGACAGTTCACTTCCGATAGAAGGACGAATCGTGGTCGGAGTAGCCGATCATTGCCGGAGAAAGAGATGTCTAGGTCCTGAGATTTAGCATCTCCCAGGTTATCCGATTACAACTTTAATATCATCTTGGTAGAATTGGTGTCAGCAATGAGGAATATTAAAGAAACTCGGTTCCTGAAACTAATCCGATCGGATCCTAGCCAAAAGTGTGAATTCGATGGGACTCACGGCCATAGGACTGGGGACTGCCGACATCTTCATGAAAAGGTGGCGACATTGTTGGAGAATGGTCACCTCAGAGAGTTTTTAAGTGACCGTACCAAGAACAACTATGGTAGAAACCGGGACAATGCAGAGCCATCAAAGCTGACAGCAGTGTCACCTCGGATGACAATCAACATGATCTTCGGAGGGGACAAGGTCAATAGGGTGACATTTTCGGCAGCAAAGAAGACGAAGATATCGGTGACTCATGGCAAGAGAATCCGAGAAGTCTCAGAAGACAACATCACCTTCACAGAAGAGGATGTTGATGGACTTCTTCTACCTACAATATGATACTTTGGTAATTTCTCTCAATATTTTAGATTTCAAAATTAAGCGTGTTTTGGTTGATCCAGGAAGTTCGGCCAACATCATTCAATAGAGAGTTTTAGAGCAAGCGAAGTTAACCAGAAACATCATTCCGGCTATAAAACTTCTAGCTGGCTTCAACCTAACAAGTGTGATAACCCAAGGAGAAATATTTTTGCCCACACATGTTGAAGGTGTAACAAAGACCACCATGTTCGAAGTAGTAGATGGAGACATGGGCTATAATGTAATTCTCGGAAGGTCGTGGATACATGAAATGAAGGTCGTACCTTCAACCTACCATCAACTGTTAAACTTTCCAACACCAGAAAGGATCAAGAAGATCAGAGGAGATCAACCAGTAGCAAGGGAGATGAATGCAGTAACCGTTTACAGCAGCAAGGGCAAAGAAACCAGCAAATAACAATTACAGGAACCGGTGCCTTCTCCCGTCCCAATTGAAGATGATAAAAATGAGGAGTCATCGGAATATATCAGGTATTGAGGTCTTTTCAAGTACCGGAGGAGACAGATGCAACTAACTCAACCGCAGAATATCTCAAATAAGTGACTTTGTTCGAAGAATTTTTGGAAAGGAAGTTCTATTTAGGAATGGGGTTGAGTCCCAAACGCGGGATAAAACTCTTAGATTTTCTTAAATCTAACATTGATTACTTTTCATGGCCCCATTTAGATATAACACGTATTCCATTGGAGGTGACGGTCCACAAATTGTGTCTAGATCCAAACTTCCCTCCGGTAAGGTAGAAGAAATAACTGATAGAAGAGGTCAGAAATAGGTTTGTTAAGGAAGAGGTAATCCAAATACTCAATATTAGTTTGATTCGAGAGGTAAAGTACCCGGAGTGTCTAGATAATATAGTAGTAGTGCCTAAAAAGAATAACAAATTTAGAATGTGTATAGATTATTAGAATTTAAATAAGGCATGCCCGAAGGACTTTTTTCCATTGACAAACATTGATCAAATGATTGATGCTACGACCGGGAACGAGTTAATGAGTTTTCTTGATGCTTATTCCGAGTATAATTAAATTAGGATGAACGTGAAAGATCAAAAGAAGACTTACTTCATCACAAACTTTGGCACATATTGCTATTAGGGGTGGGCATAATACTGGCCGAATCGAAAAAACCGGCCGAACCATAAATTTTGATTTATCGGTATCTGTTTAATTGGTTATTCGGTCGGTGTGCGGTTTATATATTATTAAATTTTGGTATTCGGTGCGATTAACGGTTTTGGTATTTCGGTTTTTGGTTAAACTGAAAAACTAAAGTTTTGGGTATGAGAATTGAGAAATATATAGGATATTAATAATTGGGTTTTGGTTATCACTTTTGAACAAAACATATGGGCTCACCCACCTGGCCACCTCCTTTTTAGCCCAATTTATCCAATACCCGTCCACAAATCCAAAGCCCAATTTACCTAATACCTGAATACCCTACAGTCTAGACTTACGTTACTTTCCTAATCCTACTTCGTTAGAAATTAAAAATTGTCTTAGTTCTAATTAGGGTTCTTGACTTCTTGAGTCCCAACTTCCTTCCTCCTCTGTGCCGACTACCGCTCATCGCCTGGTGTGACACATTCTTCCTCTCCTGCCGCTCGTCGCTTGTCGCTCCTCCTTCTTCCTCAGGTTTCCCCCTTCTTCTGAGTTCCTTTTCCCAAGTTCCCTCCTTCTTCTAAGTTCTAATGTGCATAAATTTGCAGTGCATAAAAAGAAAATTGCAATGTGCATGCTATTAAAATTATAGTATGCATAAAATTTATCTTTCTGTTATTATTACTTTATTAGTGTTACTGGTTTCTTTCAACTTTCAATTTTTCTGGTCTTGTTTATAGTATTTATGCGTGTTTGCCTCTGACTTTTAGGACTCTTTCGAGTTAACATTTGCCAAAAAGAAGTGACAATTGCATCTTTTGTTTTTTGCCTCTGTTTTTACTTCTTTTTTTTATTAAACATTATATTCTATTGATATTCAAAAAATATGTACATTGGAGTCCAAGGAGCAGCTTTGACAAGCTACTCTAGATATACATCACATTCTGCTTCTATCAATTCATGTGTCTATCTATCCTACACTATAAAATTTTCATACAGACACTTGTTTCATAACAAACTACAGTGAGGATTCCCTACTGTACTTTCTAATTATCTATGGAACCCAATTCAGCTGGTGCAATGCTTCTTTCCACTTGACTATGTCCTTTCCTCTGACGTGTAGGTGCAATACTATCTTCCTAAAAGATTTGGGAGTCATCAAATTTAGCTTGTTCAAATTTGATCTTATTTCTATATCTCCAAATCAATACAACAGTCATGGCAAACACACATCTAGTAATTGCATTTGTTCCTGTTCTACTCTTGGCTTTCTTGCATGCCCATTCCAATTCTATTTTCCAATCACTAATTCTCCTATTATATCCCAACCATGAACATAGTCTAGACCACAACTGCTTTGTGATGGTGCAATCAAAGAACAAGTGGTTAAAGGACTCCAGGTTATGTCCATAGAATGCACAAGCTGCAGGAATTTGGATGCCAATCTTCAATAGTCTTTCTACTATAGCTAGTCTCTGTTGTGCTGCTAGCCATAGAGTGAATTTGTATCTGGGGTGTATGTTGGTATGCATCATCAAACTTTTCCATTCAGCTCTGGGATATGTTGGTATCAGCTTCAAGTACATCTCCTTTATCTAGAACTTTGTATCTGTGCACATTGACTTTAATCTGCTATGGATTTCTCCTTGAAGTTTCTGGTGCTCCATAATCAATCCTCTGCCATCTAGTATCTTCCTCACTACCCAAGATGCAGTCTTGGGTGTAGCCATTTTTCCATGTCTCTGTTCTTTATATAGAAGCTATGCACCCATAGTATCTATAAACAATCCTTCTTTCTTGTTATATCCCACAAATGTTTTATGATTGCTTCTTTGTTCCACAGTTTGATGTCCAGTATATTGAGCCCTCTAGCAACTATAGGCCTGCATACTTTATCCCATGCCACTAGTGCTCTCTTAGAGATAGTAGCAGTACTAGTCCATAGGAAAGTTCTGCATATTGCCTCAATTAGCTTCATAACCTTCTTTGGAAGAACAAAGAACTATACCCATTAGGTTTGAATGCCAAAAATAACAGCCTTTATCAGTCACATCTGTCAGCATAAGATAAAAGCTTAGCTAGCCAGCAGGTGACCCTTGCAGTTATCTTCGCAATAAGAGGTAGATATTGCTGAACTGATAGCTTTTTAGAATCTAAAGGAATCCCCAAATATTTGAAAGGAAGCTTTCCTTCAGTAAAGCCCAATGTTGAAAGAATTTTCTATTTCACAGTTAATGAAATTCCAGCCGTATATATATATATATAGCACTTTTATCCACATTTGCCTGCAAGCCAAAAACAACTAAGAATTTGGGAAATGAAGCATTAAGGATTCTAATAGACTCAATATCAGCTCTGCAATACATCAGGAGATCATCAGCAAAATAGATATGTGTATTATTTAACTTCATGCACCTAGGATGAAAGTTAAAATCTCCATTCTTATGTAATTGACCCAGTTCTCTTCCTAAATACTCCATTGCAATGACAAATAAGTATGAAGACATTGGATCTCTTTGTCTAATCCCCCTTCTGCCTTTGAAAGGTTTGATCATTCCTCCATTTAGCACCAAGGAATATGACATTGTAGCAACACCTGCCATTATCCATTGCACAAACTTGAAGGGAAAACCAATATCAACAAGCATTCTTCTGAGAAATCCGCATTCCGAAGTATCATAGGCTTTCCTCAAATCCACCTTCAGCACACATCTAGGAGAGATACCTTTTCTGGAGTATCCTTTAAATAACTCATGATTGAGTAGTATGTTATCAATAATACACCTCCCTTCAATGAATGTTGATTGGGAATGTCCAACCAAACCATCAAGAACAGTTTTGATTCTTCTAGTAATGACTTCAGAGATAATCTTATACAATATGGTACAATATGCAATAGGCCTATAGTCCTTGACTGTTGAAGGTGCTGAGAATTTAGGTACTAAGGTGATGGCTATAGTATTGATCATTCCAGGCAGGCTACAGGTAGTAAAAAAGCTCTTCACAGCTGCAAAGATGTCCTTCTTCACTATGTTCTAGTTTATAGTAAAGAATTCCACAGGAAATCCATCAATACCTGGTGCTTTGTATCTAGGCATCTCCCACGCTGCAGTAGTGATTTCCTCATTAGTTACTTTCTGAATTAATCCTCTCTGTTGTAAAATAGTTAAGCATGGTCCATCCTTGATTATAGTTGTATTTGCACAAGGCATTTCAGTAGCACAGTCTACCATCAAGGACTTAAATACTCTGATGAATTCCTGCTCAACCAATTTTGGATCAGTTACCTTCATTCCTGTGTCAGTGTATATAGAGGTTATACTATTCTGGCTAGATCTAATCTTCCATTGGGCATGGAAGTATTTTGTATTTGCATCACCACACTCAATCCAGCATGCCCTGGACTTCTGCCTCAGCACTTGTTCCTCAACATTGCTCCATTTTTCAATGTCAGCTAGTGTGTCTTTCTCTAAGTCAAACAGGATATAGGCTAAAGGATCCTGCTGAATCTGGTCCTGAACAATAATCAATCTCTCTCTTGTCTGCTCAAGTTTTTGTTTGTATGAAGCCATATAAGCATTATAATCTTGCAATTACACCTTCATAGACTTCACCTTGCACCAGACCTGTTGCATAGATGTGCCATCATAATTCTGATTCCGAATATGCTGAATAATATTCTGGAATTGTGGAAGTTCCATGACATTTGTGTATAGTCTAAATGGTTTAGGATGTAATAGTTTCTGCCCACCACATTTGATTAGGATAGGGAAGTGATTAGAGACTGTAGGATTTAAGAAATCTTCCTCCACATGACCATATTGTTGTATCCACTGATAGTTTCTCAAAGCCCAATCTATCTTGCTATACACTCTTGAACCAGTGCCTTGTTTGTTTGTCCAAGTGAAACGTCATCCTTTAGCTCTAAGAGGAGTAATTTGTAGAAAATCAACCACATATTTGAATCCTTATGTTTCAGTAATGATTATAGGGAACCCTATTCTATCTTCAGAAGATAGAACATTGTTAAAATCTCCACTAAGAAGCCATGGCAGATGAGCCTGCATATTTATCTGTTTAAGATCCCTCCATAAAGTCTCCCTTTGATGGCCATCATTCTGAGCATATATGATACTGAGATATGTGGTAATTTGAGTTCTGGTATCCTCCACTAGACAATGGATGAATTTATCTGTAGTTTGAATAATCTGAAGTTATATATGAGCTCTCCACATAATCCAAATTCTACCATTTACAGCATAAGGATAGTTACAGTAATCATTTCACCCCTGAGCAATCTGTTTTTGTATTTTCTTACCCTTATGTTCTTTTACTCTGGTTTCAATACACCCCATTATATCTACCTTATTTTTAGCCAGAAAGGTCTTTACCTCCTTCTGTTTATGGGCCTTGTTTAGGCCCCTAGTATTTCAAGTGGCAATGATCATTTAGGGTTGTGATTTGGAGAGAATGTTGAACTTGGATCCTCCTGTTGCCCTCCACTCCCATCATGCCTTAGCTTAGCAGCTACCTTCCCTTTATCATTGCAAGTTAGCATTCCACTCACAGGATTGCAGCATGTGTCATTCTGAAGGTTAACCCATTCTTTGGTCTGACAAGGCATAAGAGTATTTTGCTTTACATGCTCTATATTCTTCCTAACAATCTCAGTGCAATCAGGCTCATGAGCAGGGTTTGCTTGCAGGGCTTCCTTCCTCTATGGCTCTGGATCTTTTTCAGCATTCATTTCTAGATTTTTCAACAACGATGTTTGCTTCACAGTCCTAGCTGCCTTATTTGCTCTTCTTATCTTCCTTCTTGGCTTTCCCCTTTCTTGGTTATCCTCCTCTTCATTACAGCTTTTGTTATACCGGTAGTCAAAAGAATCATGACCAAATTTCAGATAGTCATTATAGAACACAGGCCTCCAATCATATTCAATAATCTCCACCATAGGGCCAAAGGATATGCAGCATCCACCTCCACAAGAACCCTTGCATAAGATATCTTCTCATAATGAGCAGTGAATTTATCAGTGTATAGGGGCTTGCCTACTACACTGGCCATTTTGCTTAGAGCCTCAGTCGACCAATATCCTACTGGTAACCCAGGGAATCTCACCCAAACCGGCACTATGCTTAGTATGTCTTTGCTGAATGAGAAATTAATTTCCTATAGCCTTAGCACCATTGGTTTGTTCCTATAGGTATATGGCCCTTACTGGAGAACTTGGTCCCTATCAGCTATGGTGTGAAATTTGAAGATATAATATCCCTTAGAATGAATTAATATATGAGATTATGTAACAAAATTCCACACATTCGTAACAAAATTCTTCATAGATTTTTCATAAGGATTCTCTACGATTATGTACCCAATTAGAGAGGTTTTACAATAATCTTCCTGAGATTTTAGATCTCCCTCGTTCAATTTGACAATTCGTTTACCATCTCTATCAATTGGAGGAACAAAAGACAAGGGTTTACCCATTTGTGAGTTGTGATTCCCTCATACAATGTTAGCTGCTGTAGGAGTTGGCTTTACCGATCCACTCGCTTCAGAGTACTGTAATCACCGAGTTGCATGTACCGTTGTTCCTTCCGCTTTGGCAGGTTGAAGTTGCAGAGCACCTTCAGAACTACTAGTTTCATAAACTTTCTCTATCGATTGGTATTTCTGTGGTAGAAAGCTCCCAAATGTGAGTGGTGGTAATTCCTTTTGTATGCTATTTGCTGGAGTGATTAACTTCCCTGACTGTATATTAGTGTCATGCATAGTTTTTCGGTGACGAACCATCATTTTTCGGTCACAATTGCATTCCTTGCTATTGTACACCGAGAGCAACGGTATCGTTTTCTATTCTTTCTTAAATGTCCATTGGCTTTGCTTTTGTTCTTTTGAAATAAAAGTGACAATTGACTCCTTAAACAAACAATCAACTTGATTTATGCGAATTGCGACATGTTTGATTTATATTGTATACCAGTTTGTATTTTTAATTCTGTTTTCATTTGATTTTGTATAGATGGCAGAAGTAGAAAGTAGAGTAAGCGAGGTGGGTTCATCTGAAAGTGAACCTACTTTTTCACCTACAAATTTAGTTGAAACTAGTCAATGTCCAAAAAAAATCCATACAATCTAGATCAACTGTTTGGGATCATTTTGAAAAGTTTAAAGATGATAATGGAGTTAATAGAGCAAAGTGTAAATATTGTGGTCGTGATTATAAGGTCGATTCACGATTGAATGGAACAATATCATTGAATACACATTTAAAGAAGTGTCCAAAAATATCAAGAAAAGTTGATAATACTCAAACACAATTGTGTTTACAAAAAATGGGCAAATGGATGGTGGGGTGCTTTGAAAATTTGATCAAGAACTAGTTATGAGGGCTTTAGTTGAGATGGTAATTATGGAGGAATTATCTTTTAGCTTTGTTGAAAAGAAAGGGTTTAAGAAGTTTATGCGTATAGCCCAACCTCTATTGAATGTTCCTTCTCGTAGGCCAATTACAAGGGATTGTTTTCAAGTATACAGTGAAGAGAGACTTAAACTAATGAAAAATTTAAGAGAAGTAAAACCAAAAATTTTTCTTACCACAGACACATGGACTTCGTTACAACGAATTAACTATATGTGTTTGACGGGTCATTTTATTGATAGATATTGGGTATTGCATAAATGGATACTAAATTTTTGCCCTATCTCTAGTCATAAGGGTGACGAGATGGCAAAAGTTATAGGTAATTGTTTACTTGAATAGAAATTGAATAAGGTATTTATTGTTACTATTGATAATGCTTCTTCGAATGATGTCACGGTCAAAGAATTATCTAAACAATTAGATATGTGGAAAACTAATTCGATGAGTGGTAAGTATCTTCACGTGAGATGCATGGCTCACATACTTAATCTAATTGTGCAAGATGGTTTGAAAGAAATTGATATTTCTGTAAAACGTATTAGACGAGTTGTAAGGTATGTGAGATCATCTCCGTAAAGGGCCTTAAAGTTTAGGGAATATTGTTCATATCAAGAGGTAGAATGTAGCAAAATATTGTGTTTGGATGTTCCTACTAGGTGGAATTCCACCTACTTGATGTTGGAAACGGTGCAAAACTTTGAGAAGGGCTTTGCCAAACTTTATCTTTTTGATGATGGATTTTCTACTCATCTTTGTATGCATATTTTTGAGGATGGGAATGTTGTAAGTCCATTTGTATGTGATGATTGGGTGAATGTGAGAAACGTGATAAAGTTTCTTGAAAGATTTTACGAGCTCACCGAAAAAGTTTCAGGTTCACGTTATATCACTTCTAATTGTCATTTTGAGGATATATATGAGCTTGATAGTCATTTGAAAACTTGTTTAGCTACTGATGATACTAATTTGAGTAAGATGGCGGGGAAGATGAAAGAAAAGTGTAAAAAATATTGGGGTGAACCTGAAAAGATGCATAAAATGATATTCATTGCTTCTGTATTAGATTCTCATAACAAATTAGAGTATGTTGGTTTTGCACTTGAGGAAATGTTCGGGGAGGAACCAGGGAAGAAAATAACTGTTGAAGTGGATGCTTATTTGAATTCTTTATTTGGGGAATATCAAAAACATATTCAAGAGGATGTTATCTTCAATCATCTCCATCTAGATCTACTTCATCTGATTCATCTAGTGGAAATGTGAGGTCGAAATCTGTGAGAACAAAGCTTCAATTGAAAAGGCAAAATGAAGACTCTGGAAGTGGAGGTGTTAAATCTGAATTGGAAAGATATATTAGTGAAGAACAAGAGCCAGTGTCTGATGATTCTGATGACTTTAAATCTTAGATTGGTGGAAAGTTAATGTGCCTCGATTTCCTGTTCTATCTCAGCTAGCTCGTGATGTATTGGACATTCCAATTTTTAATGTTGCATCAAAATGTGCATTTAGCACCGGTGGCCTCATTCTTCATTCATTTAGGAGTTCATTGACCCTCCAGTTGGTGCAAAGTCTTGTTTGTGTTCAAGATTGATTTAGATGTGTGTGTACTCCTATTAATGTTGAAGAAGATTCGGAGTTTCTTGAGCAAATTGAACTTGGTATGCTTTTGGATTTTATGAGTATTTTAGTGAAAATTAATTTACTTTGTAATTTTATATGACACACTTTATCAAATTATATTTAGATATGGCAAAGAGCGGAAGAGAAACTTGCATTGTTGAAAGAGATACTAGCATTGTTGATACATAGTTTGAACAAGTGGTAAGTTTAAAGAATTGCTTGTTTTGTGATATCCTTTTGTTATTTATAATTTAAAATATATTATTTAACTTGTGATGTTTTCTTATTTTGTAGGTTCAACTATGCCTTATGGTCCTAAAGCCAGATCGCCTATTTGGAAATATTTTGAGGTAGTTGAAGAAAATGAAGAAGTCCGCGAAGCAAAGTGTGTTTATTGTGGTCGAGTTTATAATTGTTATCCGAAGTATAATGGCACTTTTGTCTTAGTGAAGCATATTAAGAAGTGTCTCATGCCTCATCCAGTGATTCGTATTTAAGTCTTTACGTATCCTTTTCTAAACTTAC